ACAGGGTGGGGGGTGTCATGGCCACGGGAGTAGTGCCAGGAGAAGAGGAGGGCAAAGTAAAAAAGGGGATACAGAAAGACACAGAGAGGGTGGGGTGGGGGAGAGGGGAGAAAGAGAGAAATATCGAAGACAGGTAAAAGGCAGTTGCAGCTAACATCCCCTGCTTTATTTCTCTCCCTAGCACTTATCACCATTACATATACTATATAACCTATTTATCTCTATCATGTGCCTCCCTACACCAGACCGTAAGCTCCATCAATGCAGTGTTTTCACTGTTCCCTATACCCAGTGTCTACAACAGTGCCAGGCACAGAGCAGAGGCTCAGTGACTGTCGGTTAGATCAACCAGTCAAATGCCCAAGCACTGTTTACCATATGCACTGTACTAAGTCCCCTTTCCAACACTGTGAGGAGGTATTACTATTGTCTTCAACTAATACATGGGGAAATGAAGGCTCAGAGGGTTTGAACAACTTGCCTAAAGTCACAGAGTTAACATCAGAGCCTGTCATGGAAAAAGGTATTAGGATACAGACAAAGGAGACTTTTGTTGTTGTTGCTACAGGTTAATATAGTTGATCACATTGCATAGAACCAAAGCATTTCTCTTTTCTTATGAAAAATTTCAAACATACAAAAAAGTACACAGAATTTTTAAATGAACATCAGTGTATTCAAGTCCTAGATTTACAATATCTTATTATTTTTACTATATTTGAATCAGATTTGGGTGTTTTTGTTTGTTTGTTTGTTTGTTTGTTTTTTTAAGTAGGCTCCAAACCCAGGGCAGAGCCCAATGCTGGGCTTGAACTCATGACCCTGAGCTCAAGATCTGAACTGAGGTCAAGAGTCAGATACTTAACTGACAGAGCCACTCAGATGCCCCAGATTTGTTTTTTAATTGAAGATAAAGATGAAGCCTCTGTGTTCTCTTCCTTAATTGTATTTCTCTGCTTTCTTGTGTTCAACCCCTGAGGTAATCACTGACTTGAATCTGGTATTTATTTGTTCACATGCATTTTTCTACTCTTACTATATGTATTTATGTATCCATAAATAACATATGGTATTGTTTTCTGTTTTCAAACTTGATATAAATGGTATGATACTTTACAGAGCATTCTACAACTTGCTTTGGGCAATCTATCCACATGGATGCATATAGCCTAATTTGATGGCCACTGTTTGAATATGCCACAATTTATTCATCCATTCTCCTGTTGATGGAATTTTGGTTGTTTATAATTTCCCACTATTGGAAAATGGCCCTAATGAATATTTTCTGTACCTGTTTCTTGGGTCTGCTGGGTCCAAGAGCTGCCTGCATATTCACTCTTATGAGACAGTGTCAGATAGCTCACCAAAATTTTTTACATTCCTACTGGTAGTATATGAAATATAGTATTTGCCAGTCTGAAGGGTGTGAAATGTTATCTTATTGTGTTTATAGTTTGTATTACTCTAGTTACTAGAAAGGTGTACGTCTCTTCATATGATTATCATCCATTTGAATTTCCCCTTCTGTGAATTACCTATTCATATTCTCATTTTTCTAGTGGGATATCTGAATAATATTGGGGCATGTGAATTTCTTTGTGGGTATTTAAATAATTTATTTAGAGGGGTTTATTATATATTCTGGATAGTAACCCTTTGTTATATGCACTGCAAAATATGTTCTCCTTTTCTGTGACTTTTACCTTTTAACTTTGTTAATGGTGTGCTTATTTATTTATTTTTATTTTTTTTAATTTTTTTTTTAACGTTTTATTTTATTTTATTTATTTTTTTTTTTTTAAATTTTTTTTTTCAACGTTTATTTCTTTTTGGGACAGAGAGAGACAGAGCATGAACGGGGGAGGGGCAGAGAGAGAGGGAGACACAGAATCGGAAACAGGCTCCAGGCTCTGAGCCGTCAGCCCAGAGC